TGAAATGGAAAATTTACAGTTAAAAAAGACTAGTATGATCAGAGTTTAATAAATTTTTGTTAAATAATGTAATAATTTCTAAACTTTTGTTTTTATTTTAGACATTGAAAAAACAATGTTTGCATTGGATAGAGTGATAATGTTCCATGATGTTTGTCCAAGAGTTGAATCAATTATTTTAGGAAGACCGAATGGGTCTGATGGTTTGAATGAGTTCTTAGACGCCATGGAAAAACTGCGAGAGGCACAAAACTATTTTGAAAAAAATAATCCTCAAAGTGTTGAACTAGAAAATGTGGTATGTGTGTATTAAATTTAATTCTTAAATATTTTATTTTTTAAATTTGTTTATTTTATTTACTTTAGTCATCACTGTTTAAAACTGGAGGTGATAGTATTCAGAGAGAGTTTAAAGAGATCCTTTTAAAGCATAGTAAACATGTTCAACCAGCAATTTTGATCGACATTTCCACAAACGATGATGGTTAGTAAACATGCTACTAACAAATTATTTAAATTGAATTTTTTATTTAATTTATAATTCTTTAGAGTTAGTAACTGATGATTCATCATCTGTGAGTTCTATTAGCCATTTCTCTGAAACTGTTTCATCGGATCTAATTCGTTTAGCAGATTGGTTAATTAGTCAATCTCGTGATGAATACATGAATGTTTATGCTAGAGTACGGGCTAACACCCTCACTAAATCGATGACTACTCTAAAGGAATATCAAAAAACTGGAAGTGCTGGAAGCACTAATATGGCCATTGGGCAGACTATGGGTTCACCCTCAGTAGTATGTTTCAAACTAAGCATATAAAATATGATTATTTATTCATGAATGAAAATATTATTTTTCTATTTTAGAAATCAAAATTTCCTCATAGATCTGAAGTTACTGTCACTAGAAAAACATCTAAACGTATCCAGCATGTGTAAGTTAAAATGTGTACAAAATTTATTTCAGGTTGATAAGTTTTATTATTCTAGATTTGAGAAAAAAGCTAATCGTATGTTTTTGAAAGCATCTCAAACATTAGGTCAGTCGACTGGTTTGAATTTAGGAACTAGAAGACCTACACTTATAGGTAATTAATAATTATTATCTTTTAATTTTGTTTAATTTTGTCAACACTGATATAAAATACAATTTTTCCAGAAAATCGGGAAGATGTTGTTGATGAACAAGAAATGGAAAATTATCTTATTTCAGTAATTGCTCTTCAGAAACTCATGCAAGCAGAACTATCACTGATGGTTGGTATAATACCAATCAAACATCATCATCAAGTATTTCAAATCATTATTCAAGAAAGCCTTGCTAATATTGTTCACGAGGGAGAGGTATTGATATTATATTTTATAATGTTAACTATTAACCATATTACCATACAACAAAATACTCTTACTATTGTGCTGTAATGCTGTTAAAATTTTATAAATATTTTATTTTATTTTGAATATTGAATCAAAATAATTAATAATATATATAAAATAATATATTAATTGCAGAGCATAGCTACTAGAGCAAAAAGATGTATTCATAGAAAAGAATTTGCCAATTTGTTTGTCATGTTTCCAATTTTAAAACATTTGGCTGCTATGAAGTCTGAATTTGAACGTACAATGGAAGGATGTGATCCCGCCATTAGAGGTCAATATTCAATTATACTCAATACACTTCACTCCACAGTAAGTAATTTTCTTTCCTTTAATGTATGTTATTTTAAAATAGCTTATAATAATATTATTTTTCCTAATTAGGGAGTTAGGACACTAGAAGAAATAGTTGAAAGTGTGAGGACTGATAATTCTATGGGATTGCCACGAGATGGTACAGTTTATCAATTAACTAGCGATGTGCTCGTGTTGATGGAACAACTTCTTGACTATATAGATAGTGTCGGTCCTCTTTTAGCTCAAGTACCATTGTACAACAACATGGTATCGCATCATATCACTCCACCAGAAAAATACAAGTATCTTTTAGGACTTTACATCAGTAAGTAAATAAAAAAAAAAAAAGAGTATTTACACTACATGCAGATTGGTACATGTATATGTCTTGTTTCTATTGAATACAATTGACATACGAATCAAAAAAGTTATTTTTATTGTCAATACAATTGTTATACAACGAGTTATACCTAATGTTACTACTAGATCACATGCCACTGTAATTCCAATAATGTTTGTATAATTGCTAATTTCCGGTATTTGGTTCGACGCATACACATTACATAAAACACTCATGACATCATGGTAATATTTTTGGTGTCACACAAATTAACAGAATGACCCCCCCCCCTCAAGCCATAAGACATATACATGTCAATATATATTCAATAAATGTTTGGTTCTTAAAACTGTTACATTTTGACAGAAAAAGTATTGTCTCAGTTAAACCTGATGCTTATAAATCGTAGTGACTCCTACAGCGAACCAGGCGTTAAATATTTATTTCGTTTGAACAACTGCCACTATGTAATCAAATCATTACAAAGGTCAGCTCTATTGGATATAGTTTCTTTGACTGAACCTGAATGTGAAAATACATACGATGAGATGATTGCGTCACATAAAAAGTCTTATCAACAATGGTAGGTAATAATATTTATTTTTATATTTTTATTATTTAATTAATGATTGTATTTTCTATTACAGTTGGAATAGAATATTAGGTTTCATAGTTAATTTGGATGATGTTCAAGTTGTAAATGGCAGGCTCAAGGATAAGGATCGTAACATAATCAAAGAGAGATTTTCTGTAAGTTCTTCCATCCTTTCTTAAAAATTATATGATTAAACACTTGGAAATTTTATTAATTTTAATAAATAAAAATGTTATTCCTATCAAATAAAAATTGTTATGAATGACATTAAAATTATATTGTTTTTTTTTACTTTTTATGATTTATTTAGGGTTTTAACAAAGAAATTGAAGAAATACTCAAGCTTCAAAGAGGTTACACAATACCTGATGTTGAATTACGAGAAGGATTGAAACGTGATAACAAGGAATTTATTTTACCGAAATACAGTGCATTTTATGACAAGTAATACATTTTTACGCAAACATAATATGCAATTACTTAAATTTTAATTGTATTTAAAAAAAAAAATAGTTATTACTTGAATCAAATTTTAAGTAAAATTTATTGAGTTACTAATTGATAAAAAAACATGTATTTATAGATTTTCACAGTCGTCATTTACTAAAAACCCAGAAAAATATGTCAAATACACTCCAGCTCAAGTATCCGCTATGCTCGATCGATTCTTTGATGTTGCTGCTTAAATCTCAATGTCTATTATATTATTTTAAATATTTGTTTGTTTTTTTTTTTTTATCATGTTCTAATCATTCTATTCTATTATTATTGTTATTTATTTATTTAGATATGTTCATTTCAAAATTAATAACTTAATAATTATTCACTCATTACCTTTATTATTCAACTGTAATATCAAGTAATAAGTATTAACCATTTATTTATTTAAATATCTTGAACAATTTTATTATTATAGAAATATTTAATAGCAGACTGATCAAATTACCGAAATGTTCTTTTACATTGATACTCTCTAAAGAATTTTTATATTTTATATTTTCAATATTAATGAAAATTATGTACCTTTATCCCTATTAAATTGTAATGTTATTTATATAATTAAAATTCATATTTTTTTATAATTATTTTAAAAATATATATAAATTATTTTTTATAGATACCTAATTTGAACTACATTTTTATTAAAAAAATAATTAAACAAGTTCTCAGTTTTACATGCTATATTAACTTTAAAATATTATGTACCAATTTTATAGAAGTTTATAAACTATAGTTTGAATTTTTAACATGGAGCTCCACTTTAAAGTATTGGAAAATAAATTTTTTTTAATTCCTATTTTCTTCTTCACTTATTTTTTTCTCAAATAAAAATAACTGTGCAACACACACAATAAACATGATTGAGGACTTTGAAAAAGATTATATACTATCACTATACATCAGAATATAAAAATTTGAATCATCTCAAAATCAAATTTTTGGTACTTTCCAGTTGGCAGTTACTGTGTGATAATTTCCAACTTGTCTCTTTTTTTATGACTGGATGATTTATTATGAATATTATGATCACATAGTATACTTTTTAGTTTATATTTATACTAATTTTAAAATAGCAACAAAAAAATAGATTTAATTTTAACGTTTAATTTTGAATAATGTTGTGCAATGTATAGAATGACCCTAAAGTTTAAAGAATTTATTAAATCCATAGGAGTTTAGATTTTGTGCTTAAGGTTATCTCTTATAAACCTATTATTAAAAGTATGATAAAAAAATAGGCATTTTTAATTTAATATATCTTAGTAAAGAAAGCAGAAATAAATTAATAATATAAGTAAAATGAGATAAAATTAATATTAATCATTAATCATATAACAGTATTTGTAAGTTAATAAAAGATTTGAATTTGACTTTGTTTAAGTTCATAATTTTTAATTGGATTTAAACATAATTTTTTGTTACTTATCTTTATGTAAATATTATATAATACCATATACAGCACATTTATTTATTAATATAAACATAAACTATTATATAATTATACAAATATTTGATTAATATTTGTAATGAAAACAATAAAAAACAGAATAAAAAGTGCTTGCTATCACTATCTGGTGAGACTAATTTAATGCAACCATAAAAAAGAATATTAGAGCAGGATTTTTAAACATCATTATTCTAATTATTATGATTTATAGTTGAAAACAATACAGCTTTTACTTATTGTATAAAAGTATAATTATTTCCAATTTATAGCTGTGAAGCTAGGCATTACATTAATTTAAATTATCATATAAAAAATAAAAATAAAATTTAAAAACAAAGATTTGATAACATTAATATAAAATATGTATAATATACTATGTGTTTAAATTTAATCAAAATTATACAATGTTTTTGTTCTAAAATTATTTAAAAGTTTTACAAAAATAAGTAACGCAATAATAACCGAACATAAACATTTTAGAATAATTAAAGTAACTATACCAGCATAGAAGTATGCAATTTCGTTATCACTTATGTTTTATTAACCCTGGATAATTACTATATTTGAACACATTGAATCGTTATTTAAAAAATTTAGTTTATTCTGGTTTTTTCCCAACACCGTCAGCTATATCATACACAGCGGTAGCAATTTCAACAGCAAGTTTATCTGCGTTCATTTGAGTGTCTGCTTCAGCATAAATTCTTACCAGATCTTCTGTTCCAGAGGGTCTACAAAGTAAAAATTGAACATTTTTTGTTTGTCATTACACAAATAAATCAAAATTAAAACATAATATGTTTTACATGTATTGCACATGTTTCTCATACATTTAATACTTGATTACTATTTAATATCATTTTCAAGACAACAATAAAAATTAGTTAAAAAAAGTTTTTGTTTATTTAGTATTTAACACCCTGGTATCAAGCTTGTTCAATATAATTTTGGGAAATATATCTATTAAATACCACAAATTCTACCTGACAAATGATCTTCCCATAGAATACTTTGACACAATAGAATCTATTTTTTCTTGAAGACCTAGTGGTTTTAAACAAATTCTTTCAGCGTCACCAGTCTCAAATGTATTTCTATCCTGATAATGTATATAAATATGTTAATTATACAATTATTTATTTTTAAACAAATTAACTCATATTGATTACCTTAACAATAACTTGTTTCAGACGATTTGGTAAATCAGAATATGTTCCATACCAATCACTTATACTCCATCCTCGTTCACAAAGTACAGACTCGACGATCAACATGTCAGAATAAGCATCACCCACGGTTTCATTAGTCATATCCATGATACAAATCAATTTCTTTAGTGCTAGTGATTTTGTCCTTAACATAATATATAACAACCCATTTCAATGTTTTTGATCTAATAATGACAAAGTCAAAATATAAATCTGTATATCTCAAATATTTTTTATTCTTAGCCAAAACATATTATGTTAAAATAAATATAATATTCTTATTTTAAGTAAAATATAATAAGTGACATACTCATCCACTTCAACAGTATATTGATTTCGAATAAGTTCTCGTATAGCATCCTTAAATAATATAGTTCCATGACCATTTGCTTCAAAATAAATACCAACATCATAATCGTTGGCTTTATGATGAAGATATTTCACCCCTGTTGGAACACATGCAACAGGTACTTTCTGCAATATACACACATTATATAAGTATTCTACAACAAAATGTAAACTGTTTATACAAAGTCAATGATAAATTTTTTTGATGTAATATAAATAATTAACTGTTAAAATATTATTTTTATTAAATACCATTAAGTAATAATTGTGTTAACTACAAAGTCAATTTTTAATGAAAAAATAAATACATACCAATTTATCAGTTACATATTTTGTAGAATTTCCATTTGAATAAGCAGTTTGCACTAACCCTATGTTGATATCAAGACCAGAAGCAATTAATAAATCTTTTATATAACCAGCCACTATGATAAAATAAAAAATATACAAATAAAAAAATAAATAGGACATAATTTTAATTAAGTTTTAATGTAGTACCAAGAGTAGCGATTCGATCACCGTCTAATAAATAAAATTTGTTGTTTTCATCAACAAAAGAATAAACTATCCTATCTGCATCTCCATCTACGGATACATATTTAGAGTATGGTTTAATAGTCATTCCGGTAGGAGGGCATTGGTTTGATTTCACAAAATCTGCACCACACTTAAATAAATAAAAGAAAAAATTATTTATTTTATTTTATTTAAAATAAAAAAATATAATCATACTTTGTAATTTAGTTTTTCTGTATTCTTTATATCATCATTATGCATATTAATTACCAATGTCTCTTCTAAATGTATGATTGCATCTTTCATTTTTAAAGCACCTACCCCATTAGCACCATCAAATTCTATTACAGGATCATAATTTTTTAAATCTAAACACTAAGGAATATATATAATATTATAACAGCAATTTAATTTCCATTAATTAAATAAATAGATTATTTACTTGCCATTTTACGCAAAGTTTTAAAACTGTTTGTTAATTTAGTATAATAAGAATGTTCATTTGGTTGACCATATAGGCCATTGGTGTTATAACATCTCACAAAAAAATGTAACATTGGTGTTGTTATTATACCGAAATCCTCAACATTACTTTTAAAAGCTTTAACACCACATAATACAGCATCCAATAATCTTTTGCCAGAATTTCTAAAAATACATTAATTAATATAGTTATTGTAAACATTTGAGAAGGCATATAAAAATTAAAAAATATTAAAGAAAAGCCACTTACCTGGTATCACGACCAATGAACACACGAGGTGTATACTTTTTGTCAATATTATTCTCAGAAGCGATATTTATGAGCATGGCACATACATCCTGATTGTTAGGGGCGTTTGCCAAATTAGTAGCATACACTTCCCATGAGCTTTCCAACATTTCCCCTAGAGGGTCAATGAGTTTGATGCCATTATCATCTCGCGGATTGTGCGAAGCTGTTATCATTAGCCCAACTGCTGCTGATTTCAAATGTATTGAGCGCAAAGCGACCAGCAAGCCCATCCGATGCAGGACATGGTCTAAGTGTTCAGAACTGAAAACAGCAAATACTTAGTTCCTACAAAAAGATACCTAGAATGATCATCAAACTCACTTATAACGAATGCCCGATGTACCATATTGAAACACTTTGGTTCCTGGATTTGGATATGACTCAATGTTCGATTCTAGCTCTACAATGTTTTCCACCCAGTCGTCCATGTTGAAGCAGTCAAATTTAATATATCACTAAAATCAAAACAATTATAAAGACGTTCAACAATCCAATTGCAATAACGATAAAACTTTATGAAGATACCTCTAGAGTTTAGGTATATAGATTGCCAGCTATCTTATAGGATTCATTCAATACTGATGACGTGTTACTTTCATTCGACGCGTTTCAATGTTGCGTCCACGATAAAAATTAAATTAACCATGTACTTAGGACTGGGCGAAATTCATTGCATAAGAATTATGTTATTAAATATTATGCACATTTCTCTACCTATTTTCACTTCACATTCTTCACAACAATTCGTATTCTGATAACTGTATAATCTTGTGTGTAAATAAAAAACACGTGTTGCAGGCCATCTGATACCGTGCTTGACATTTGTGTAAGTAGAGTATATTATACATTATACAGGTTTTATACAGTCCACAAAGATTAGTGACAGTACAGTACTACAGTGTGATAAATGATAATGAATAAGGACTAGTCTGTAAACATCCGTTGCACTTTAGTCGTCGCTTTCATAAATTGAATTTTTATTATCGTTTTAGGGTTTACATTTGGATACCTACATTAGTATATTAGGTACTAAATTTAATACCTAGGACACCTAGGTACATAACTATAAAACAAAATAAATAAAATAATCTAAATTTAGAAGTAGGTACAATTATTAAATCACTAAGTTCCTCTTGTAGGTGTCTACATTTAGGAAAAATATTGTGAAACTTTTAAGCTCCTCGGATTTCTACAGAATAATATACGTAGATTTAAGTTAGAGCTTCTTTAAAATAATAAATTCTACTGTAATTTATTTATTAATGAAGGCATTCTTGAGTCTCTCCGTCTTATGCTATTCTATGAGATCCAACGACATTACATATTCGTCAAATGATGAGAGAATTCGAAGAAAATTCTTACGTTTTCCTGTTTTTCTCCATAGTATAATTGTCTTTCATATTGGTGATAGATCATCTGCTTACATTAGTCTGAGTAGTTTATCATCAAATCTCTTGAAAACAGCCATTATAACGTTTTTAAACAAACATTTGGTTTTTGTTTCACCTAATCTGCTAGTAGATATAATATGTATAAACTTTAAAGTGCGTTCTCGTCAACTGAGAAATCTCACACCATTTACTTTACCTACGTCTATACTTAATCAAAAAATATAGTTAATAATTATACATTTATACCTATATTAGAAGTATAATATAGAAGATTTCATATTTATTTAGCACGATATTAAAAAAATAACCCTTAAGAAAGTATATTATTTAAAATATAAAAATATGTATTATACATAGTATACAATCATAGGCGCCGACTTTTAGATATTAGCGCGGGGGCAAACTCTTCTGTCCTGTTGTACTTCGTTCAGTTTACGTATTGCTGTCGTTGCATGAGAACGCTTTAGGTATAGCGTCCTCTTAAATGTAAATTTATGATATACGATAATATCATGCATGTTTTATTTTAAATACCTAGTATTAATAGTATATACTATAAAAGTAATAAAATCAGTTCTCTATACATTTCGGAATAATTGAAATTACAGATGTATTTTAGACCAAATATAAAACCAAATAGTAGTGAGCGATCTATAGTATTTAGTATTTATAATTATTATCGATGATCATATTTAAGTTTTATATAATTATACAATCGTCGATGTTCTAATGAATATTTTCATGTCATAATCTGGTATTTTAACCAAATAATTATTATTGTACACAACGGGGCGAAATAATACTTTTGTCCCCGTTAAATCAAT